GCTTTTACAACAGTAATATTCAAGAGGATACAGAGTATCGACATCAAACAAATCTTAATAATCACACTGAACAGTAGTCAATTTCCAATTCCTATTTGCCCCCTTCACCTCAGATTCGAAGCAGACTTGCTAGCAATTACCTATATAATGATACATCTGTTTTGACATTGAATATAGGCCCCTTATCATATATTTGTAAGTATTGTCATGCCTCACACTTTGCCGATGAGAACAAGTCTATTTGTTGCCAGAGTGGACAGGTCTACCTGCCTCCAATACTTCCATTACCACCTTTTCTGTATTCTGTATATAACTCACACAAACACTCTAATTTCAAGAGTAATATAAGACAATATAATAGTGCACTTGCTTTCGCGTCTATGGGAGCTAGCATTGATATTTTTACGGGTCATGGTCCATACTGCTATAGAATTCATGGACAAATCTATCACAAAATTATGCCACAACATCCTTCAATACATCAAAATCCAAGCTATAGTCAATTGTACATGCTAGACTCCAATGAGGCTACTGATATCAGAAAACAAAACCCTTTTAACATTAACTGTGATTATAATTTACTGCTTCAACTAGATATGATACTTCGACATATTAATCCATATGCACAAGCTTTTAGAATGATGTATGAATTGGAATGGGAAAATATTTCAAGAACTATTATTTCTGGTAGCAATTTACGTGGAGTTTATATGTTTATTAAAAATGAAGGCACAGACCATCATCGATATAATACTCCACAAATTAATGATGTTGCAATAGTTTTCCAAAGTGAAGATGGTGTGCCATCTTTTGACCGTGAAATATGCATTCATCCAAAATCACCAGAACCACAACATATATCTATTTTAAATGCTAATTGTGATCCTATGGTTTATCCATTGCTTTTTCCACATGGAGATAGAGCCTGGCATGACAAGCTTTCTTTTAACAAGCATGTAACACTCCTTCAATATTATGCCTATTGTTTGTCCAAAAGAGATTCAACATTATCAACCTCTACAATTACATATGACCAAATTTTACATGCTGGAAAACTCACCCAACAATATATTGTAGATGCCTATGTTAAAATTGAAAGCAACAATTTACAATACTATAGATCTAATCAAAAAAATATGAGAGTTGATTTTTATACAGGTTTGATGGATTATGTTGCTGGCAAAGCTACTGATGCAAATGCTCGACCAGGAAAAATTGTTATTTTACCTTCTACTTTTACAGGAAGCCCAAGAGCTATGCAACAAAGTTACCAAGATGCTATTGCAATTGTAACAAAACACTCAAAACTTGATATTTTCATAACTTTCACTTGCAACCCTAAATGGCTTGAGATATTACAAAATCTACACCCTAATGAAGGACCTGAAGACCGACCTGATTTAGTTGCTAGGGTTTTTAACATGAAGCTAAAATATTTTCTCCATGATATTACACAAAATAATATCTTTGGAAGATGTATTGTATTTATATATGTCATTGAGTTCCAAAAAAAAGGTTTGCCACATTGTCATTTCCTAGGCATATTAGATAATGAAAGTAAAATTAAAGACTGTGACACTATTGACCAATATGTATCGTCTCAATTACCTGACTCTTTATCAGAGCCTGAACTATTTGAAATAATCACATCACATATGATACATGGTCCATGTGGATTATCAAATCCTCAAAGTCCATGTATTGAAAACAAAAAATGCTCCAAAAACTATCCCAAAAACTTCAATGACGGAACTACATATTGTGTGGATGGGTACCCAGAATATTTTAGGCCAAACAATGGTCGCACCTTCCTTAAAAATGATGTTCCAATTGATAACTGATGGATTGTCCCATATAATAAATATTTATGTAAAAAATACAAAGCCCATATAAATATAGAAATATGTGCATCAATTAAAAGTATTAAGTATCTTTTTCAATATGTTTATAAAGGATATGATTGTGCAACCATTCAAGTCCAAACAGCTACTCAATCTGCAAACGTATTAAACTGGGATGAAATCACGAATTTTATAAATACCCGATACATTTCAGCACCGGAAGCTATTTGGAGGATATTTAAATTTAAAATGCATGGACACTCACACCCTATAATACGTCTGCCCGTACATCTTCCTGACTTCCAAAATGTGTATTTTACAGAAAACTCGGAACACAATGCCTTGCAAAGAGCAGCACGTAATAGAACAATGCTAACAAAATGGTTCGAACTCAATATTCATGATTTGAATGCAAGACAATATACCTACGTTGAAATACCTTTACATTATGTTTCAATAAATTTGCTAATGTATGGCAACATCGAAAAAAAAAAGGGGTTATTCCTCGACTATACTCAGTATCTCCTCTAAATACCAAGTTGTACCACTTACATATTATTTTTCTTCATAAAAGAAGAGCAACATCCTTCGACAATATTAAAATAGTTAATGATGTAACTTACCGAAGCTTTCAACAAGCTGCTGTTGCTATGGGTCTTCTTGATGATGATAACGAGTGGTATAATTGTTTACAAGAAGCATGCAATTTTCAAATGCCTACACAATTGCGTCAACTCTTTACTTTTATATGTATTTTTTGCAATCCACAAGACCCACCATATCTTTGGGATATTTTTAAGGATTAGCATGGGACTAAACATGATCTACTATAACAGGCTGTAGTACAAGTTAAAACAAAGTAGCTAAAGCTTCTAAGCAAACGGACGGACAACGAACACTCCCTTCCCATCACTACAAAAGTCTTGAAACTCACAAGTAGAACCTCCAAGTCCAAACCAGCACTGCGAGCATGAAAGCAACTCCCATCGTCGCATGTAAAGCTTCCCCGCTCGATGTATTGCTCGACGGATTAAATGGCTGGAGGATGCCACCCGATGACGATAGTCCTGTTGTTTTTGCAATCCACAAGACCCATAGCAAAACATATTTGGAGGATATTTAAATTTAAAATGGTTTCTATGGCGGCAGAATCTGGCTGTTGGATGTTGGTAGAACAAATATTGTATGCAGATATAAACTTGCTCTAATAGACATTAACTCAAGAATGAAAATACATGGTAAAACAAACCAATCATACAATTTACCTATCCCAATCCTAAATACCTCTATTCAACCAATACCAAATTGCAACCATTCATATACAGAAATTTACCATTATATTAGAAACTTGAATGTTGAACAATTAACTATATTCAATGAAATTGTTAATATTGTTGAGTGCCCGACTGATACCAACCGTTTTATTTTTATTGATGGCCCTGGTGGTACTGACAAAACATATTTATTAAATATAATGGTAAAATATTTTGAGTTCTACAATAAAAAAGTGGTTTGTATGGCATGGACAAGCATTGCAAGCACACTACTACACAATGGACAAACATCCCATACAACCTTTAAGTTACCAGTTCCAATTAATAATACATTTGTTTCTAGTTTAACACCTAATAACAGTGCCGGTAGATCTATGAAAGCAATACAAGTGCTTATTTGGGATGAAATTAGTATGGTTCATACACTTGCCTTTTTAGCTGTCGATCGCTGCTTACAAGACTTAAAACAGAATAATTCTCCATTCGGTGGCATTGTTATTGTTACGAGTGGTGACTTCCGTCAAACATTACCAATTGTCCCACATAGTCATCGAGCACAGATTGTTTCCACATCTGTAAGAATGAATAGTCTATAGAATCTATTTAGAAAGTTTCAATTGCAAACAAATATGCGGCTTGGCCCCAAGTTCCCAGACTGGGTAAAATGGCTATTGAAAGTCGGTGATGGAAATAATTACACACAAAACCCTATTTTACCACTTGATTCTATCCTTCTTCCTTCAGAACTAATTAAAAGTACCTCTATTATTGATTTCGTATTCCCATGTATCGAAGATATTTCAAATGTTCAAATTGTAGCAAATAGAACCATTTTAACACCTCTCAATGATGATACATTTTCAATTAACAACAACATCATCTCTCAATTACCAGGTCCACCTCAAACTTATACTAGCATTGACTCTGTTGATGTTGAACACCCTGAAGATTTCCCAATTGAATTTTTAAACTCTATCACTCCCTCTGGATTACCACCACACAAATTGATATTAAAAGAAGGTTGTATAGTTATTCTTTTGAGAAATATGTCTCCAACAATTGGATTATGCAATGGAACTCGACTAATGGTCAAAAGAACTTCATCTAAAGTTTTGGACTGTGAAATAATTACAAGTGAATTTAAAGGTACTAGAACTTTTATCCCACACATTAACTTAACACCCTTTGATTCAAATGTTCCATTTCATATGTCTCGAAAACAATTTCCTCTTTGTCTTGGATATTGCTTAACAATTTCAAAATGCCAAGGTCAAACATTTGATCGTGTAGGTATCTACTTACCCCAGCCAGTCTTTACCCATGGGCAGCTCTATGTTGCACTCTCAAGATGCACATCACCACAACAACTTGCAATTTGAGTTGACACAACTCATACACAAAACCACTTAATTCCATTCAATTCATCAACATTCACCATCAATACTATATATAAAGAAGTTTTATATTAACTAACTCCTGTCCTACTACACCTTAAAACATAAAAACAAACTACAATAAACTTTGTTTATTTTTTAATTTTCCCTGTGGCCCTAGACTGGTGCTAAAAATAAAGGAATCATCAATTGTGAGATAATGAGCAAATTCTCACAAAGATATGTTAATAAGTTTGAGAGGCTTTGCCAACTACCCAGCATTGCAAATACTAGTATATATATATATCCCTATATAATTAACCTACCCATCCATTTCTGTATATAAGCAAATTAGTATTCTTATTCCTAATTATATCAAAGTAATATTTCTGATAGAACCAAAAAAACTTCCTTTTTACTATATAACTATTATATATTTTTTTTATAAAACTTAAAACCTATCCATCTAGAAATTTAGTATCCTCTAAGTCTATATAAAAGCACAAAATAAAGAAGGTAGAAATTTATCCAATCCAGCTTTTGCATTTAATTTGCATGTGATTATAGACTTGCAATATTTAAAAACCATGGTCTTGTGAATCAATATCCCAGATCTGGCATGCCAAACAACCCAGACTTTAGCATGAATCGCGATCCAGACAGCAAGCCCACAAATTCACTCGACATCCAAAAGGCAGATTAGCATCCATCAACGTCAGAGAAGAGCAAGGAAAGAAAAGAAAAGTGCTTACCAGGATCACAATCTAAGCGGTTGCTTCCATGAGCTGCTCCACCTTGGCGATGTAATCTTTCATGGCATCGTCGGCAGATTTGCCCTCGCACTTCTTCCAGGCGTCCCATTTGGCCTTGCCCTTGAAATCCAGCATCCCCGGCCGACTCGTCTCGTTGTTGCCCACCGTCGCCTGCTTGTAGAGCCCGTAGAGGATGAGCTTGTCCGCGTCGGTCGTCGTCGGCGGCAGCTTGAGCGCATCCTCGGCCGCCTTCTTGAATTGCTCCTCCGTCGTCGCCATAGCTAGATCGCACCAAGAACCCTAAAATCCAAAAAGCCACTTTCCTCTTCTTTTACTTTATTTTGTGTGGCGCCCCCGCGCATGCTCGTGGATTCCAGCAATGCCGTTGCCGATCGATCGAATCGGTAAATCTCATCGATCTCGATGCGGGAATGTGCGAATCACTTTCTTGCAGGGGAGATTTTGCCTGTGATCAAGCTGGAGGCGATGGAGCCATACGAGATGGGGCTCGCCATTGGGAAGCGCTTCTCGGCGATGATCGAGAGGAGATTGGAGCAAGATCCTCTTGTTCGATCGCAGCTCGTGCCGTTTTCTCGAACGAGCGATGGCGAGCAGCTTGTTGACGATCTTAGTGCCACGAACAGGTCTTTGTATTTTTTTGTTCGTTGCTCTCACGTAATGTACCTCCATTGTTCTTTCAGGAATGCGTTTCCTCGTTACTGGGACGAGCTTCGTGGCATAGCCGATGGAAGTGGTGCTTCGTTTCTCGAGGTAAGAAAAATTCCTTGGAGAGATAGAAGAAAGGAAAGGAAAGTCTTTCTTTCTTTCGATCGATTGTTCTAAGCTCTTGTATCGTTTTTTTCTCAGCTGCTGCTCTTGAATCTTCGCAAGGAGATTTTTCCTTTCTTACCAACCGAAGTAGCAAAGGCCAGAGACGTGAACTTGGAAGCGGTGGAATGCTCCGATATCCTCGTTTGCAGACCCGATTTAACTGTGGTGGCACACAACGAAGATGCGGACGTTTCAGTTGAAGGCCATGCATTCCTTCTTCACGCTGTTCTTCCACACGGAGTCTCATTCTTCGCATACACTTACGCTGGAGAACTTCCAACTTGTGCGTTTGGATTCAACAGCTTCGGTGTGGTGAGCAAAATGGTTGTACAGTTTTTCTTGTTCTTGCGTGTTTGCTCTGGTTTTCTGGGCTCACACTTTTTGGTTTTCACGAAAGTGTTTCGATGCTCTGGTCAGGCTTTTACTTTAAACGCAGTTCCTCTTGCTCCAAGCGAGACTGTTCGCGGTGGTGTTGGAAGGAACTTTGTCTCGCGAGATCTGCTGGAAGCGAAGGATTTCACGGATGCTTTGAAGGTACAAACAATGCATTTCTTTTGGTTTTTGTCTACACGTTCAAGCGAGAGTTACCTTGCAGAGGATACAAAATCCGACATTGTCTGCTGGACACTGCTATAACTTGCTAGACATCAACGCCAAAATGATTTTCAACGTCGAGACAGCATCCAAGCAGCGTTTTACATATCTGCAAATCTCCGAAGCGCCATACTTCCACGCAAACATGTACCTACGTTTGGATGTCTCACAGGTAATTCCCATAACGCTTCAAAGCATTCTAAACAAGTCGATTCCAGCAGGTTTCCAACGATAGCTCTCTCCATCGCGAGAAAAGAGCCGCTGAGATGCCAAAGAACTCGCTGGAGGAGATTCTAGCTGTTCTTGGCGATGGCAGTGACGAGCTATATCCAATCTACATGGCAGGTACTTTGAACTCCTTCGCGTTTCTTGAGAAGATTTTCGTGATCACAGGTCCAAAACTATGCACACTCGTCACCGTCGTGTTTGACGCGAGCTCAAGAACAATGACATTGTATCATGGAAACCCAGCAAAGTCTTCCACGCTCCAGCTTGAAATATCCCTTGATAGTGTTTAAAGATTCTCTTTTCTTTCTTATCAGATTTTAGGGTTATTAGGGCTAGCGATGGAGGAAGAGCGCCAAGAGCAGCCATCCGCGGCTTCATCCTCGTTCGCTCCAGCTAAAATCAAGACGCTCTTCCCCGCGTCGGCAGCCGGATCGCTCTTCCCGATCTTACAGGTGAGGCGAGAAATTTCGATTCGAACAACAAATGCAGCGTTGTTCTAATCGCATTTTCCTCTGGATTTTTCCAGGCAAAGCATTTCGATGCTGAGGCTCCAACATGGCTGAGCAATGCCAGCTTCTCCGAATCGCTTCTTCCACCTCGTCCTGTAAGTGTAGCGGTAGCACAGCCGAGTTTTAGAGAAGGCGATGGATCCGACTCAAATGGCGATGACGCGGAGCCACTGGGAGAGAAGAAAGATGGGGGCAAGGAGAAGAAACGAAAGAAAGAGAAGGATAAGGAGGACAAACAGAGGAAGAAGCACAAGAAGAAAGAGCAATCTGAGGACACTGTGATCGGTGCTCTCAAAGGAACTCGCTCCGAGAGGAAAGCCAGTGGTGGTATATGGGCTGGGGATGCTGGGAAGGACTGGTACTTTGATTTTCGGGGAGACAAAGACAATCTAGCATTCGAATCCTTGTACAGGTAATTTCTTTTCTTGTTCTTCCTACTTTGCAATCTGGTTTGAAAGCTTGAACTTCTTCATTGTGTAGACACGACATTGCTCGATACCATTTGCACCAGAGCAAGGAAGTTTTGGAAGAAAGGCTATGGAGGAGACGATTGGACTTGGTTAGTCCGGAGGGTGATAGCTGCTCGCAGGAGGAGTCAGTGAGAACAAATGGCCGGTATTGGTCGTCAAAGGTGGCTTCGTTGGAGAGGCGTCGGGACTTTAAACGTTTGTGCTTTGGAGCTTTGCGCTCAAAGAAAACGAGGCATGAAGCAGGAGCCTTGTATGACAACTTCATCGCTCTAAACTTGAACGAAGGCGAGGTTGAGAACCAGGTAGAGATTCCTCAAGAGAAGAGCTGGGACGATTACGTTCTAGACAAGCTGAGATCTTTCAACCAGCTTACGCACGAAAAGCCCGGGGATGAGAGTGTGTGGATCAGTTTCGCAAAATTTCAGGTACACACGAGCTATTTCTCTGGCATGCTCTAAAATCTTGTAATGCACAGGACGAACTCATCGAAGCAGAAAAGCGAAAGACAATGGTCCAGCATGCGATTGACAAGAAAATTTTACTTTTAGAGAAAGCCCTCGAGCATCATCCGAACAGTGAAGAGCTGATTCTCTTGTACCTGGAGACGTGCAGAAGGAAAGATGATCTCGATACGCTGATATCGAAATGGGAGCGGATGATCGTGAGACATAGCGGCAGCTATCGTCTATGGTGGGAATTTTTGAGACTCCGACGATCCACATTTTCTAAGTTCTCGGTATCGGCTCTTAGAAAACTGTACAGTCAAGCTCTTCAGGCTCTCGCTGCTGCTCGTAATCGGCAACAAAAGGAGGTAAGTTTTTTCTTCTTAATATGCATGCATATTAAATTTTTGTCTTCCTCTTTCAGCGTTTAATCGGAGATGATACTTCAAAGCTTGCAGAAGCAGAAGTTGGAATCATCGCAATTTTTCTGGATCTTTGCCGTTTCGAGTGGCAAACCGGTCACCATGAGCTAGCGGTTGGCCTTTTCCAAGCACAGTTCGAGTATAGCTTTCTCTGTCCGCTTATCCAGCTTTCTCAGAACAACAAACTGAGATTGTTTGAGTCGTTTTGGAATAGTGGTGCACCAAGGATTGGAGAAGCCGGTGCAGTAGGATGGAACACTTGGATGGAGCAGAAAGAAGAGCAGATTCAAAACGCTAAAGCAATGACTGCACACAAAATGGAGGAAGAAAGCAGCTGGGCTGGATGGAAAGAAACCAATGAAGTGACAAAGACTGGAATGGAGAAACCAGCGGCCGAGTCGAGCATGAAACAGGAAGTTGACGACGCGGAAGAAAATGACGAGATTGAGGAAGAAGACGATGCAGCGTTGCTTGAAAAGCTTGGACTCAATCTCGACTTGACGAAAGATGTGGAAGTCAAAGACTCTCGTATTTGGAAACGCTGGTCCGAGGAAGAAAGCCAGCGTGCCTGTTCACAGTGGCTTCCTGTCAAGCAGCGGTCGAGGTAACGAGCTATATATATATATGTGTGTTTTTATTTCAGTTTTTTTGGCTTACCTGATAGTCTTTTATGTATGAAGAGCAGCAGGAGATGATCAGGATGAGGACGAGGACGAGGGACTGGAAAATATGGTCCTATTTGACGACATCAGAGAAAATCTCTTTACACTGACGACCGTGCAAGGAAAATTCTATCTCATGGGCCAATTTCTCGAGTTCTGCAACGTGCCTTTGTTTCAATGGTATTTTGTCTATTTTTCTTCCTTATTTAACCTGGTTTCCTGTTCCAGGTGTTGCTCCAATGCACTCGGGTATAAAGAACGAATTGACTCGTTGGAGGTTTTAACCTCAGACATCCTAAACGCAAGCACTGACATTCAGGGCCTGGGAAATCTTGTGTTTCCAAAAGACTGGATCAAAGAGTCGAAGGGCCGGGCGCGCTTTGTCCGCAATACGGTTTTCCTGCTGAAGGACATCTTATCACACAATCTACACTTTCAGGAGGTGCTCCTTTCTTTAGAAGCTTTGGAAGCCAGTGAAAATGACGGCAATGACGGCTCTAGTGCTTCTCGAGCTCTTGCAAAGAAGTTACTGAAAGCCAGTCGACAGGTAAGAAGCTTCGCGCTGATACATCGTGTACTAAATAATCTTTTTTAGGATCTTACGCTATGGGCAGCATACGCTTGCTTTGAAGCGTCTACTGGAAATGTTGACGTTGCAAGGAAAATATTTGACACCGCGCTGACATCTTTGAGTGCTCTTCCAAAGGTAAGTTTTCCTGAAACGTTTTCTTTTTTCCTTTTCCTGAGCTGTTTTGTTCTAGGAAGCACAATCGGATGCTTCTTCTATCTACCTTGCGTACGCCGAAGTGGAGATGGCACAGTGTGGCACTAACACCCAAGATTATCAAAGGGTGCTGTATATTCTACACTTTCTAGGACTCGGTGATCCGTATCAACCGAACTTTTCCACTCTGAGCGGGACACAAGTTTTAAAAGCACGACGTGGCTATAACGATCAACTGCAAAAGATTTACACGCTTGGAAGATTGCGCGAGGCGGAGGCATCGCTGGTGATTTGTGCCGCTTTATTTCAGCAACTTACCGCAGGATGGCAGCCTGCCACCTCGATTTTTCAACAAATTTTGTCAATGCCCGTGCAAGGTACTTCAGCCACCAATTTTTTATTTTTATTTTTCATTTAAAACAGGTCTGATCTTTCTTTTTCCTGTTCAGATGGTCTGCAAGAAAACGTTCATCACGAACGTCTGTTGCATTGCTATACTACCATGCTTGAAAGCCAGAAAAACTGGGTAAAGCCGACACTTATTCGACAAGTTGTGAAAGAGGGAGCTATGCAGTATCCATTCAACTTGAAACTCCTCACTTCATTCAAGCAAAACACTCTCGCAAATGATACGCGTCGCTTTATCGACAAATTATCGCAGAGGTGGGTCGGTTTTCACGTCTGCCCTTTTCCTCTAAAACGAGTTTGCATGGCCTTGCAGGAAACAATCGAGCTTACAGTGGATTTTCGCATTGTCCTGCGAGGTCCCCAGTGCTGGAGCAACCTCTCGCGTCCGTAATGTGTTTGAGCGTGCGCTAGATGCCTGTGGAAGCCAGCATTCCGTTCTTTTATGGCGCTTGTACGTTGCGTATGAGCTCGCGCAGAACAATAATGAAGGTGCCCGACGTGTTTTCTTTCGCGCAATCCATGCATGTCCATGGTACGTTTGCTAGCATTCATGTCAGTGCTTGAAGTTACTAACTAAAACGAGCCTTTTTTGAAGGTCCAAAGCATTGTGGATAGATGGTTTCCAGAAGATGAGCACTGTTCTTAGCGTCAAGGAATTGTCCGACCTTGTAGATATCATGCGCGACAAGGAGCTGCGCATTCGCACCGATGTGTATGAGATACTGTTGGAGGAAGCTGGATAAGCACCCCTGGTAGGTTCTTCATCTTTGCTTTGCTTTGCCTCTCAAGGTGTGGTTTTACTTTTAGGAGCAAATTTGAAGACGATCACCAACCTCTGTTCTGGGCTCTGCAGCTATTCGTTTTTTTTCCTAGTGCTTACTGCCCTGGTGTTTACTCCCAAGTGGTTGCAAGCTTCTGGGCACGCTGGGGTGGCCTTTTGGACAGCTGAGAATTAATGACAAGGAGCTGGAGAAGGAACTGTGCGTTTATGTAGTGTGAGGAGCATGTGAGACGGTGGGCGGAATTCTTCCTCCGCGCAAGGAAATGTGTGACCTGTGCTCAGTCTGGTTCCAGGTTAAAGGGAAGGCTTCTTTATTGGAGGTATTCATCACCACCAAGGCAAGCCATCACTTAAAGCACTTGAGCTCTTTCTTTCTTTTTGCTCCTTGCTTTTCTCCGTTCTCGAATACTTAACTCTAAAGCCTGGCTGTTGCAGGATTAGATAAATGTCAGCGTCGTGTGGGAGCGACTTCGTGAAATCTCGAGCTGGATGGGAATTTTGGAACTGGATGTACCACCGGCAGCGATTTGAAGGTAAGGTTGCATGTTTGAGTCGCGTTAGTTGTTCGGGAAGCCACATTTCGTGATCATTAGCTAAGAAAAAGAATACCGATTTCTTTTCACGATGAACAGTGAGGAGTGTCTTTTTCGATGTGTTGAGTAATAGCTGGTTGTTCTCCTCTCAGCTTTCCTCACTTTTTTCGCTACAGACTCATTTTTCTTGCTAGTGTATGGAAGGCTTCCTCTCTCTTTTTTTTGTGGACCATGCATGGAAGGTGTCCCGTAGCTGTTATAGATTCTTTGCATTGAGGGTCCTGGCATTGTTCGTGTGGGATTTCAAATTGGTTGGCTTTCGGGTTGCTTGAAAATTTTCAGAGCTGCAGTGAAAGACCAAATCTCTTTCCTTTCAGGGGAAAGTAGAAAGCAATCCCGCTGGAGATGAGCAAGCAAGTGTAGCAAGCAAGTATAGCCAAGATGATAAATTGGTAAGAATTTCGATTCAATTCCCAGCAGCAGAGATGGTGCAAGGTTTGCTTCGACGTGCACTTGGAGCGGTGAAAGACCAGGCCAGTATTGGACTAGCCAGAGTGAGCAGCAGCAGATCTCGGTATGTTCCAGCTCTGGAAATCGCAATTGTGAAAGCCACTAGCCACGACGAACTGGTGATGGTGGACGACAAGCATATCTTGGAGATAGTCTACTTGATGTCCTTCTCCAGAGGATACGCCAGCGTCTGCGTCTCTCTACTCGCTAGAAGGCTGAGCAAAACGAAGAACTGGGTGGTGGCTTTGAAGGTCCTGCTGGTAATTCACAGGCTGCTACTCCAAGACTCGTCAGTGATGGATTCGAGCTTCGACGACGAGTTAATGCTGGCTAGCAGGAGGATGCTCAGCTCCTCAAGCTTCAAGGACGAATCAAAGGATCCTCTGGCGCAGCTGTGCAGCTCCTTTGTCCGGAACTATGCTCTCTACATCGACGAGTGGCTCGACTGCTTTGTTCTGGGGGCTGCATCGCAGGATAGTTCCCTTGGCCAGGCTGCGGGGAATATAGTCGTGGACTTCAATGATTATAGAGTGGACTACACGACGTACAAGCAGGACGAGCTCGTCCAGCAGCACCAGAAGAGCCAGAGCTCGGTGTCTGAGACCGACGCAGGGATTGGAATGCTGCTCAAGCGAGTTCCTGTGCTCCAACATCTGCTCGAGCACGTCCTTGGCTGCTCGTCGGGCGTGGAAGTCCGCCATCCTCTGGTGAGGTCGGCTCTCACTTTGATCCTGCGAGACAGCTTCCGGGTCTACGCTCACGTCTGCGATGGCACAAGCACGCTGCTAAACGAGTTCTTCCTCATGGTTCACAAGGATGGTCTCAAAACTTTCGCGATTTACAGCCGGCTCGGGAAGCAGGCTGACGCTCTGGGAGAGTTGTATGAGAACTGCCGGGAGATGGGAATGTGCTCCGGATCGGAGTACCCGTCCGTCCAGAAGGTTTCTCGCGAGCATCTGGTCCTACTCGAGGACTACTTGAAGGACGCCACCCGCAGGAACACCGACCAAGTTGATACGGCGAGCAGCGACGGGAAAACAAGCGAAGAAGTTGACGAGATAGCTCCAATTGTTCTCGACGGGAAGCCGAAGCAGAACGTGGATTTGATCAGCTTGGAGCAGCAGCAGCAGCAACAGCAGCCTCTTTTCTCGACGGCTTCCGAGACCGAGAGCTCGTGGGAAACTTTTGCATCGAGCTCGGAAGAGGGTGGAACTCGAGCAAACCAGAAAAGTTCTTCAGCCAGCAGCAGCAGCCCGGGAAATCTCAAGAGTTCTCCGAAAGCTTCACCAGGAGACGATTCATCAAACGACACGGATGGAAAGTCTCTAGCAGCAACAGCAGCAGCAGCAGCAGTAGACAATCCAGCCGCGGGAAATCTCAAGACCAACAACTGTGAATCATCCGACTGGGAAGTAGCGCTCATGGACGAAGCCAAGAAGCTCTCGAGCTCTCTCTCCACGGCTTCCAGAGGGAGGAGCACGAGTTTTAGCCTGAGCGAGTGGCAGCCGGGGAACACTTCGAGGAGCTCAAGCGCTCGCGGCAGGCCGCAGCGAAGCAGGATTCCTCTTCTCTCCATGTCGGCGTTGCCCGCGCCGTTCGAGCTTGGATCACAGTCGTCGTCCTCGTTCTCCACCGCCAACGAAGATCTCTTTGGATCGAAGAAGCGATTCCAGCAGCACCAGAGGATTGGAATTGGGAGCCCCGGATCGTATGGAAAGCTCATGAACAAGCATCCACAGGGATACAAGCACTTGCTCGCTCGCTAAAGAGATAATG